ATCTTTTGCACAGCAAATTATCAGTTGTGAAGAACTCACTCAGCTCTAGCTTCCTTGATGATTCAAAGTTCATTAAGTTGTGACTAAGCTCATTAAACATACATTTCCTTTTCTGCTTTAATTTTGACTGCAATAGTTGCAAGAATTGTGTATTTTTTCCAACCTCCTAAATCAGTTGTTCTGCTGTCCTACACCACTATCTTCTTCTTTCTTATTTCATGCCCCAAAACTGCGTGCATCAAGAAAAATTACACAGTTCGGTAAGAAATAAAAAAGAGCATCCTAAAATCAAGAAAAGCATGCCTAAGGCAACATACATCTCCCTTTAACTTCTACAACTTCTCCATCAGGTTCTATCTGCAGGAAAAGGCAAGAGTCTGACAAAAATGATTCTCACTCAATGCCGATGACTGCACTGGACTTCCCTCAGAATGCCAGAAGCCAGTGATTTCAGCAGGTGCTTCCTTGTCACTGAACACAAAACTCTCAAATACCATTGATATGCCTATGTTATTTCAGGTAGCAAGCAATCTCCACTCCAAAATACACTGCTCTTTGGCTTTGAAGGAGATTTTTTTTGAACAGTAAACTACTGAAAGCAGAAATCTCTGGAACGTTTTTATGAATTTTCTGGACTGAGGTCTCTTCACATATTTATTAAATTCTGAAGTAAACTGATTTCAAAGAGAATCCTTCTTTATGGAAGTATAGATTGCATATATACCAATATTTATATAATTGAGGCATATCTACATTATCATATATACCCTTCTATTATACAGCTCAATATGTATTGAAGAGTCCTGCACTGACTTATATGTTTTTCAACTTGAAGCTGGTAATAGAAAGTACGTGTGATATGTTGAGAGAAGTTCTGAACACACCAAATACTGCTTCAAATCTGTAAGTCACACAGCACAGCCTGTGCCTAGGTACATGCTGGAATTTGTAGTTAGTTTCAGTAACATATAATGTATTATGTAATACTACATAGTTACCTTTTTTTTTTACAGTAATACAGGTAGAGGTTACAGTAACACAGGTAGATATCTGTATTAAGGTTTACCCAGAGACCTTTGCAGGAAGCAAAGAGAAAGAAAATGTTACTTTTGAAACTCTGTTAGTACAACATGGGTATGAATTGTGAGCAAGCCTGGCACTAGCAAAGACCTAGGAAGTTTCCAGAGGACAGGTGAGCAAATAAAGAACTCACTTTACCGCTGCTTAGATGTACTGAGCAAGATAATTTCTCCACAACTAGCAAATTTAAGAACTGCTAAAAAAATCAGATTTGACAAGTTCTTCAGAGTCTGAGAACAAAGGAATTCATCACAAATAGGAAAAAGTAAGATAACGTTGCCCTGATTTGGACTATACGATATCAATATAAAGGGCAGGCAGAAAACCGGAAATCAAGTCTTGCTTATTCCTTAACAAAGCTGCAGTGCAGTCAGAAATGAGGTAAGCATTTTTTTTTGTCCCCAGATTTGCCTCATCCTGACACTGAGGGAACAGAGTGGGAAGACAATTTAACCTCTAGGCTTGTTCAGTACTTGGTCCCCCTGCTCTGACAGATAACCTAAATGCTGATACCATCACTTCCAAAATAAGCCTCCTTGTGTGCAATACAGATAAATCAATCCTCAGCTATCCTCAGGGGAGTTGTGACAATTTGCACCAGCCCGAGGTCTGCCCCATGTACTTTGAACTTCTGTAGTTCAGTACCCCCTTAGCCACATTATACCACAACAGCTCCCAGAATTAGGAGATGATAATTGGAGGTTATCCCCAAAATTAAAATACCATCTTTCCATGACTCTGGAAGGAATGAATATTTACATTAACTTACATTAATAAGTCAATGTCCAAATCACTGCATTTAGATTTATTGTCTGAGAGATTTGTCTCTGCTTTTCTCCTTTCTCAGAGGAACTTATCTCAGGCAAGTGAGTAAGCATCAAGACGTCTTCAATGACATTGCCATTGTTAACAGTTTTTTTCCACTCCTTTTTCCATTTACCTATGCGTTGGTTTTGTTTTCTTTCAGTTATGCGATATCTCGTGATCTGTTTAAAATCAGAGCTCAGGAGTTGCTGTTCTGCTCGTGGCTGAGCAGTACCTCTTTGTAAGTTTGCACAGGACAAATAGCTTTTTGCAAAAAAAAAAAAAAAAGGCACACTACTAGCAGTTTACTGCTCACTGGCCACTTTCCCTTTTCATGACACCCAGAGTGACAGTAGAAGTCATTGGCCTCAGGCACCTTACGAACAGCAGCAAATAAAATTGATAGGGAAATAAGCTAAAAAGGAGTGCAGTAGCACTGAACAGTATCTATAATTCTTCCTCAGTAGAATGTAGCTGTCTATGAACTTAAAAGAAAACAGTTGTCAATAAAACAGAATTAGTGATAAATAATAAAAAGGTGTTATTCTGAAAAAAAAAAAGAAAAGAAAGAAAAGAAAACTGGCCATGGGGAACAAAGTGGTATGCAAAAAAGAGCAGTGGTACACTGTCAAAGGGAAAAAATATACTCACTCATTACTCTGTCATTTTATCGAGGAACTTTTCTTTCCATGGTTCTACCTCTTTGGTTAATAAGAATTAGAAATGCCATTTCAAGTCCTCAAAATACTTTTCTGTACAATCTGTTATGCTGGAATATCTTCATTTTCTGACTATTTGTTAACTGGATAAAGGAAATTTCAGACTGAATATAATGTAAACCTCTCCAATCATTAGACCTGCTTGATTTTGATAACAGCACTCAAGGAAAGCAAGAACCCAAATTGTATGTGCTACTTAAAATCAGGCTGAACAAAATCCCAGGGAATTTACTGTATGCAATAGCAGGAAGATAGCTTGGGAAACGCTGGTATAAGATCTTTTACCTGGGTAATTAATGCAAGTGAGAACATCTTCATTTTTAAATATCAAACTATTTATAACATACAGCCTTATCATCATTGGTCAATAGGTATATTTGGATAATTATCTATGAAGTTGGAGCAAACAACTGTTAATTTGTCGCTGAATCAGAATGAATAACATATGATTTCAGTTTTAAATTGAAAATTTCTCTTGGAAGGGCAATATATTACTATTATTACCTGAGGATAATCTTTTTTTAGACTCTACTTCCATACATCTCTAATAGCTGCAACTTAATCCAGACTCAGAGACAAATTTAGAGCTCTATATAAAATGAAAAATCAGGCTTAAAGCATAAAAAAAATTATTGCATTCCAATACCACATGAAATAATGACATGGCTAAGATAAAACTCATATCATACAAAGTATTTATAAAAGTCTGCAGACTTTAAGGCTCTGAATATCATTAGCACCTATTAACTTCAGTGAAGCTCAAGATACTAAACGTCTCTGAACCAAGCCAGCAAGCATGCTCTCTCTAGGTCATATATGCTGTTACTGTCTGAAGAGCAGTATATGACAAACAAAACTAATCTCATATGACTGTATTGAAAATTAAATTCCTCAGAGAAGCGCGATCCAAAGTCACTCGCGCATCTATTAATGGGTTCCATTTTAGGAAACCTCTGTGATATGTCTGAAAAGGGATCCTTTTCTCAATCAAAAGGCAATGTATGTTGTTTATATCATTTAGTATTAAAACAGAAGCCAAATCTACCAACAAATGGAGGGAGAATGTATATCAGCTCGCAATGAACATTGTTTGTATTACCTGTTGTGGATGTTCAAGAGATTCATTTCACAAACCGTGGTGCAGTTTTTTATATCAGTCTGTTAACATGCTGTAGTCATGATTATGTATTTTTAGCAACAACAACGTTGCTCTAGTAGTAATTTCTTTACTTCAAAGAAAAAAAAAAGAAGCTGAAAAAATAGAAGTGAACAGAGGAACTGATATAAACAAAATCATATGGTTGTGAGTCACTATAAATTCTTAATTAATCCATGTTGACAAAGATTAGGTGACTGAATAGTTTGTGTATGTGAAACCTATGGCAATAGAGCTGCACAGCAACCCACACCGTGTAATCTGAGTCTTAAACTTTTACAAAAATCAAGGAGCTTCCAGACCTGCGCAATGATAGAAGCATGATAAGGGTTTGCAGGTAGAACTTGTCTGTCTCACACAAGTGGGGTCTGCCCCTGCAGCGCCCCAGCAGCTGTGTACAGGGTGCATCGTGTCCTTCCCAAGGTAGCAAACCTGGAAGATCCTGTGACCCTTTGTTGCAGGAGCCACAAAACTGCTTTCACGGGCAGCCTTAATGTGCTCCACCCCAGAAAGAAATCTGGAGTTTAATTTTCACTGTGAAGAAAGTCTGAACGTGGCCAGCACAAGTGTTCTCCTCTGTTATAAGAAAAGATACTTCTAAAATAGCTTTAGCAATTAACATAACAAGGAATGAATTCATGATGCCAATTAGAAGTTGATGGTCCCCAGGAGATTCTGACTTCCTTTTAAAAAGTTTTTTGTTGTGTTATCCAGTTAATACATATTGCAAAATTGCCTTCCGATCCAGAGTTTTTGTTTTCATTCTAGGAATAAGATTTTGATCTACACCTGAATTGTGCCACATTCTTCGTTCAAAATCAAAGTTAGTGTCATTTCTTGAGTTTCATAGTGATGCTGGTGGCCTTCAGAGTATTACCATTAGCTCAAGGTTTATTGAAATCGAATGTGTATAAAGGAAGCAGTATTCAAAATCAGTGGCCCAAAGCACTCTCCATATTAGCATTTTGAAAACCACTGCAGATTGTGTTACTTTTTAGTGACTAAACTTATGTTTTTATTTCCCAAGCCCAGCTGTCCCAACTCTTGCTTCTCCCAATGAAATCTACAACTGTCCAAAACATATCAAACATAGGCAGAACGAACATCAATCTATAGCTCTGTTGACCAATAGATTGATCTCCATGGAAGCATGATCTGATGCTTTCGATACCAGCTTCATAGCGCCATGGCACACCACACAAGAAACAGAACGGAAAAAGGTGTCAAGCCAAATCTGTTACCTGGCTGATGAGTTTTTGCTTTTCCACCAATGACTGCTGAAATACTAGATCCAGAAGAGGAGGCTTCCATTTTTATTGGCCTTCTGACTCGTGGGAGCGAAGGATGTCCAACCACGGGCGGACGCTGTGACACTGGGTAGCTTGCTGCAGTTCTCCTCTGACAGATTTGTACACACTTTTCAGCCCCATGAATAGATAAACTTATACCTGATGGGAATAAGAATTAGCACTGTTAGATACAGGAGATCAGCATAGAATAGCTAAAATATAAAAATTGCCATGGTTTAAAATGGAGCTGTGACAGCCTTCTTGAAGGAAAAAAAAAAAAGCTATAAAAGCATGAACTCTGTATGAAAATGAAAAACATGAACATCTTTACTGCTGCTGTGCTGCAGACATCAGAGCCAGCCACACTAATAGATATTTAAATTAATATACAGTCTTGGTTTAGTGCCTTACTGGCCTCCAGGAAGAATTATCTTCCGTTCCTACAGAAAAATACACATAGAACTCACACAGAATGATATTAATGAGGGAACTACCACAGACTGTATTAAACGACAGTTTTGTGATTGATGGACTAAAACCTGGCAATAACGGATTTTTTTCTTTTGATCATTCACAAGTATCATCAAATCCCATCATATAGAAAAGACGCTACACTTCAGAGAGACTAGCTTTTAAGGTAAAAATAAATGTCTGTTTTTAGGAAAACAGTAAAGCTACAAGCAAAAATAGCATAACCTTAGGCTTGAAAAATAATTCCACTTTCACTAGTCCTGTAAAACTTTGGCTTTCCTTTTCTCTCTCAGGTCAACACTTGAAATATTCTTTTGCATCAAACTAATTCTCAAATTTATCTCTCACAACATAGCTAGTTTTTAAGTAGAAATTGTTGTCTGTTATGAAAACGGTCTTTACTTTTCTGCAGAAAAAAAGCAAGGTTGAAATTTCCTGTATGTCCATGGTACGTTCTTAGAGAGAAATGCTGAATTTACAGTACAAAACATTGATTCTGATTTCCTTATGTTAACATTAACACGACTGTTCCAACTTCATCAGTATACTCTAGTGAAAACCATTAGACCATCTTTTTGGGCAACAAAGAGCTGAATATTCTGAATATCACTGAAATTCTGTGATACTGTTTTACGCTTAGATTAATTGTGAGTCCTGCCTCTTTCATCAGCAGCCACTCTTTGCTTTAAAAACAAATTTAAAAAAACTAACCAGATATCAATGGGAAAACTGAGAAGCAAATGGGAATAGCTCACTCAAAAAATTAGGAATGTACATATTGTAAGCACATAAACTGTAAAGAGCAGTTACCCACAGTCATTACACATCACTGAACAGAGTGTGCATTTTTGCAAAAGGACTTCCCCACTGAAACGTTCAAGAATGCTTTAATGACTGTAGTCTTCCAGTCCCACTGAAAATCAACACAACATGAGCCTCCAAGTCAGGGAAGAGGTTCTGAAACTTTGACATCTTAGTACGCTTTGGTACATAACATATCACTAAGGGAAAG